CCCTGTCCTCTTCCGATCCTGACCCTTCTTCTCAAGGAGACCTTTCTATGCCTGCTTACCCAGGGGCCCCAGAAGCTCCTCTGACGTCTCAGCCTCCCTCCTCGCTGGTCTACACACACCTCCACTTAGGAGGGCTACAGCGCTCTCTCTCTGCCACCTCTCAGGGAGCATTTGTCACCGTGAAACAGAATTGCCCCTAGCCCATGGGAAGGCTGCACGGGATTCCAGGGGTCCAGGCAAAAAGAAAAGGGTCACATTCACCCATTTGAAAGCTGTTCCTTGACCCCTTTCATTTTCCCCAATTCCCAGCCACACCACCCCAACTGCTACCTACCCCTTCTACTCATCTGACCTCTCCTTCTTCTGGACAAATGACTGATTATAGAGATGATCCCCAAAGCCGTGCTCAGCACGCAAATGATGAGAATGGTCATCCTGGAAGGAATCACAGACAGCATCCGTGTCCCTTGGAAGACACCATCTTTTGGTTCTCTGCTCAGGATCCCCTATTCTGGGACCCATCCCCTCTCCCTGCCCCTGCGCTCTCGCCCAGTTCCAGCAATGCCTGGCAACCTGGATTCCTTCAGAGCACCCATCTCCTCCAGACCACACTTGATTGGACCTGGGGTAGGTGTCTGACCAAACTGGGCCCAGCCCCCTCCTCGGGAACTAACATGGGACTGGAAGTGGGAGGATGCAGTTTCAGGCTGGCGAGTCTCTTGAACGGGGGAAAAATAAACTCGGCAGCTAGAAATGGATTATCTTCTCCTATGGCAAAAATGAAATATAAAAGGGCAGTGGGGAGAAAGAGGAAGCAAACACACATAAGCGTAGCAGATTAGAGATGGAGATAAATCCTGATGACATTCAGACCCTTTCTCAGGGCTACCACAACCCTGCCCTCTCATTTCATCAGCCATTGCTCTCTCCTTATGAAGAATTTCCCCCTTTAACTAAAATAGCCAGAGAGCATTCTTGCTGCTTGTGATCAAGAGTCCTAAACTATATTCTTTTGAAAGGAAGCAAATAGTCACACTGAAGACAGTTCAGGAAGAGAAACGATACACTGCTGAAAAGGAGCAGGTGAAATCCCACCGACATGTTGTGCTGTTACTGCCCACCCAAAGTCTGATTGTCTCCTAAAGTCATGACTTACCTGGAGTGATCTGCCTTGTGGACAACTTTGGAAGAACTGCAGCTTCTGTTCTTGTTGCTGATACGTCTGTGTCAGAAAGAATTTGTTGAGAGTCAAATAAGGCCCATCCCCAGGCCCTTCCTTTGTCTTCTGCATCTCTGCACCTCTGCCTGTCATTCTCTCAGTCTCCAGAGAATTAGTGCCCTGGGTGACTGCTGGGTCAAGTCCAGCTGCTTATGTGTGCCCTGCACAGGGCAGAGGCGGAGGGAACAAGCAGGGCTGTAATCCAGCCCATATACTCGTTTGCCAAACCATGCACCTTGCCACTGGGCTCCATGCACCTGGAGGAAGGGGCATCTTTTCCAGATTTGCACAAAGGCGCTGTGTTGACTAGATATGGCCCGTGGTTAGAGAGTGCCAGGCTGAGTGCCAGTCCTATCCTTAAGGAACTGATCAGTAGGTAACATAATTGCCACATCATGCTTCTGACAGCCACCAAAACCCAATGGGAGAAGGGCCACCATGGTCACCCAAATTGCTACCTGTGATAAGACTGGGGTGTGTCGGGGGGGGTGTCTGTGTTTCATTTAAACTAAGGAGCACACTTAGGTGGGACTTCTCTCATCCTGAACCTAAAACTCAGGACAGACTACACAGTTAAGTAAAAGCAGAACCACACAAAGTAGAAACACTGTAGGCATGAAGGGTATCACACATTCAGTAAGATGCTTGCTGAACAAATAACCAGCTGCTAGAGCAAGGCCCTCTAGCACCAGGAGGAGGCTTCCCGGAGCTTCCCTTAAGTCCTCTGTTTTCCTACTGACATTGTGCTCTGGATTGCTCTAGAAAAAGACATCCCTTCTAGAAATGGAAATAATGAGAAGCCACAGGAGGAAAAGAAGAAAAGAAAGATAGTACTTTCCATAAGCAGTGTGCCTGAGACAGGTTTTCAGCATTGGACAGAAGGATTTGGGGGAGCATCTGGAGACCCTATGCCTTCGCCCTGGCCCAAAGGAGCAACACACTGGCTTATACAGACTTACCCCTCCAGGCTGCTCCACCCACACCCTTCTGGCAGCCTCCTGGTGCAAACTGTACTCCTTAAAAGAAAGCACTGACCTCTTGGACCATATTTATCACTGTAAATTATGAAATTATTTAAGTGGACAGTTTTTGAGGGTGCTTGTCTGGGTGCTTAGACCACTTGTTTTTTTTTTTTTTTTCTTTTTTTTTTTTTTTTTTTTGCCGTACGCGGGCCTCTCACTGTTGTGGCCTCTCCCGTTGCGGAGCACAGGCTCCGGACGCGCAGGCTCAGCGGCCATGGCTCACGGGCGCAGCCGCTCCGCGGCATGTGGGATCTTCCCGGACCGGGGCACGAACCCGCGCCCCCTGCATCGGCAGGTGGACTCTCAATCACTGCGCCACCAGGGAAGCCCTTAGACCACTTCTACAGCCTCAGTCACGCCTCAACAAGTGAATCTTCAAGATTCTAAACCTGCAAAGGCAATGCTCTCGCAACTGTCAGCCTCCCAAGTTCCATCAGCCAGATGGCTGTGAGGGGACAGAGGTGCCAAGAGCACTCCAGGGCAATAGACCCTCCTCTTCCCCAAATTCCAAGTCAGTTGTCAGCAGCAGCAGCAGCTATCCTACTATGGAGGGAAGGAGAGGCCAGTTTACCCCAGAGAACCTAGGGGGAGCCCGAGTTGTTGCTCTCTGAGTATTCACCACACCAGCTAACATGGACTGCTGAGGGTTACCTGCAGCTGGACCCCCAACAGGCTCTTACCTCTCCCAGACCAAAAATTGTTGGCGAGGGCTCTTCTGTTGTCAGTGACAACGAGCTCTGTAAAATCCATGTCATCCCTGGCAAAGTCCCGCTGGATACTGCACCAGTACCAGCCCGTATCCTCCTTGGTCAGGCAGGACACAGTGACAATAAGCTGGTTTCCTGTGTCCCTCAGGGCCACGCGGTCAGTGCTGTTGGGGGTGAAGGCGATGATGTTGCAATAGTCCGGAAATAGCCTCGGCACCAGTATTTGGGGTGGTCCTTATAGTGGGCATCGGAGTTGCAGATGGCAGAAGCTGTGTCCAGCACAAAGCTTTCCTTGACCTTTTCGTCCATGACCATAGCATCTGTGAAAACACACATAGACAAACACTATTGTTCTTTTAAACACATTGTAGTTCCTGCACCCTGGAGGAAAATTAATTAAAGCATTGGAGGCTGATTTTTGCCTGCTTTGGGGTTGGCAACTGTTATGGGCTGAATAGTGTCCCCCTAAAATTTATACATTGAAGGGTTAACCACCCAGTACTTTAGAATGTGACTACATTTGGATTTAGAGCCTTTGAAGAGGTAATTAAGTTAAAATGGGGACGTTAGAATGTGCCCTAATCCAATCTGACTGGTGCCCTAATAAAAAAAGATTAGGACACAGAGCCTTTCTCTAATTCACACCAAGTCAGCATATGGGCCAGCAGCAGGCCTGCATCATGGTACGTGTTTTACCTGCATCATGGTAGGTGTTTTACCTGCATCATGGTAGGTGTTTTGCTTCTATTGCCTCATTTATTCCTCATGAAACCTTTATGAGTTCAACAATTAAACTGCACAGGGAGAAAATGAAGCAGGAATCTATAGATTAAAAGGGGCTTAAGAGGCATAGTGATAAAATTGCAATATATGGAATTTATTTGGATTCTGACTGAAGGAAACAATTGAGAAAATTTGGACAGTGACTAGATAGTTGATGATATTCAGAGATTATTGTTGGGGGGCAGAGTCAAGATGGCAGTGTGGGAAGACGCTGAGTTAGGCTCTCCCCACAACTAGGGCACCTGCCAGCCGCTGGTGGGGGACCCTGATGCCCAAGTAGACAGGAGGAACCCCCAAGTGAACCAGTAGGACATGGGGGCACTGATGGGGGAGAATTGGAAGCCAGACAAGATTGGTGCCCCTGAGGCTGGGGAGATCAGGAGAGGCAGGCAGGAGGGACTCTCCGGGAGGAGCAGGAAAGGAGCAGAGGGCGATTGCCTGGCCCACTCAGGCCCAGGGAGGCTGCTGAGATCCCAGGCCAGTCCCCTGCCCTCCAAGGTCCCCCCACCCAACCCCGGCCGCATTGGTCCTGGGGGCATAGGAAGGATCCCAAGGGGAGGATAGGAGAGGCAGGCAGGAGGGGGCCTCCGGGACCAGGGGAGTAGGAGAGGGAAAGAAGGCATTTGCCCCACCCACTCAAGCCCAGGAAGCCTGCTGGGCTCCCAGGTGAGGTCCCCCGCGATCTGAGACCAGAGTTGGGGGACATACCTGGACCCCTTCTGTTCCTTGAGCTTAAGCCCCACCCCCACAGCCCCCAGGGCCTTTTCCAACCCTGTGGGTCCTGAGCATAGGCTCCGCCCAGCACGCAAACCTCTCCCTTGCTTAGGCGCCGCCCTCCACAGCCAAGGCCTTCCCCTCCCCCCTTTTTTTTTCTTTTCTCTCCTCTTCTTTACTACTGTGATACTGACGTACCTTCCAGGTGTTGATTCATCTATATTTTTATTTTTATATTCTTTCTAACATATCTGTTAGTTTCCTAGTCTAATTTTATTTTTTACTTTGTTATTGTCCTCGTTTTTGTTTTTTGCCACCCCATGCAGCTTATGGGCTCTTGGTTCATGAGCCAGGGGTCAGGCCAAATCTCCTGTGGTGGGAGCTCTGAGTCCAAAGTACTGGACTAACAGAGAACCTTAGACCCCAGGGAATATTCATCAAATGAGGTCTCACAGAGTTCTTCATCTCAGCACCAAGACCCAAGCTCTACCCAGTAGCCTCAAATTCCACTGTTGGAAGTCTCAGGCCAAACAACCAGTAAAACAGGAACACAATCCCACTCATTAAAAAAAAAAAAAAAAGTCACAGATGAAGGAGTAAGGTAAAAATCTACAAGACCAAATAAATGAAGAGGAAATAGGCAATCTAAATAATTCAGAGTAATGAGAGTAAAGATGATCCAGAATCTTGGAAATAGAATGGAGGCATGGATTCAGAAAATACAAGAAATGTTTAACAAAGATCTAGAAGAACTAAAGAACAAACAAACAGAGATGAACAACACAATAACTGAAATGAAAAATACACAAGAAGGAATCAATAACAGAATAACTGAGGTAGAAGAATGAACAAGTGAGCTGGAAGACAAAATGGTAGGAATAACTGCTGAGGAGCAGAAAAAAGAATGAAAAGAATTAAGGACAATCTCAGAGACCTCTGGGACAACACTAAATGCACCAACATTCTAATTATAGGGGTCCCAGAAGAAGAAGAGAAAAAGAAAGTGTCTGAGAAAATATTTGAAGGGATTATAGAAAACTCTAATCTCTTCCTTAAAATGGGAAAGGAAATAGTCACCCAAGTCCAGGAAGCACAGACAGTCCCATACAGGAAAAATCCTAGGAAAAACACACCAAGACACATATTAATCAAACTAACAAAAATTAAATTCAAAGAAAAAATATTAAAAACAGCAAGGGAAAAACAAAAAATAACATACAAAGGAATCCCTCCTATAAGATTATCAGCTGCTTTTTCAGCAGAAACTCTGCAGGCCAGAAGGGAGTGGCTGGATATACTTAAAGTGATGAAAGAAAAACCTACAATCAAGATTACTCTACCCAGCAAGGATCTCATTTAGATTTGATGGAGAAGTCAAAAGCTTTTCAGACAAGCAAAATCTAAGAGAATTCAGCACCACCAAACCAGCTTTACAACAAATGTTAAAGAAACTTCTCTAAGCAGGAAACACAAGAGAAGAAAAAGACCCACAAAAAAAACTCCAAAACAATTAAGAAAATGGTAATAGGAACATACATATTGATAATAACCTTGAATGTAAATGGATTAAATGCCCCAACCAAAACACATAGACTGGCTGAATGAATACAAAAAAAAAGACCCATATATAGGCTGTCTACAAGAGACCCACTTCAGACCTAGGGACACATACAAACTGAAAGTGAGGGGATGGAAAAAAATATTATAGGCAAATGGAAATCAAAAGAAAGCTGAAGTAGCAATACCTATATCAGATAAAATAGAATTTAAAATAAAGACTGTTACAAGAGATAAGGAGGGACACTACATAAGGATCAAAGGATCAATCCAAAAGAAGATATAACAATTATAAATGTTTATGCACCCAACATAGGAGCACCTTAATACATAAGGCAAATGCTAACAACCATGAAAGGAGAAATCGACAGTAACACAATAATAGAGTAGGGGACTTTAACACCCCACTTACACCAATGGACAGATCATCCAATCAGAAAATAAGTAAGGAAACACAAGCTTTAAATGACACAATAGACCAGATAGATTTAATTGATATTTATACAACATTCCACTCAAAATCGGCAGAATGCACATTCTTCTCAAGTGCACATGGAACATTCTCCAGGATAGACCACATCTTGCATCACAAATCAAGCCTCGGAAAATTTAAGAAAATTGAAATCGTATCAAGCATCTTTTCTGATGACAATGCTATGAGATTGGAAATCAATTACAGGAAAAAAACTGTAAAAAACCCAAATACATAGAGGCTAAACAGTGTGCTACTAAATAACCAAGAGATCACTGAAGAAATCAAAACAGAAATTAAAAAACACATAGAAACAAATGACAGTGAGAACACGATGACCCAAAACATATGGGATGCAACAAAAGCAGTTCTAAGAGGGAAGTTTATAGCAATTCAATCTCGCCTCAAGAAACAAGAAAAATCTCAAGTAAACTATCTAACCCTACACTTAAAACAACTAGAGGAAGAAGAACAAAGAAAACCCAAAGTCAGTAGAAGGAAATAAATGATAAAGATCAGAACAGAAATAAATGAAATAGAAACAGAGAAAACAATAGCAAAGATCAATAAAACTAAAAGCTGCTTCTTTGAGAAGATAAACAAAATTGATAAACCATTAGCCAGACTCATCAAGAAAAAAAAAGGGAGAAGTAAATCAATAAAATTAGAGGCGCTTCCCTGGTGGCGGAGTGGTTGAGAGTCCACCTGCCGAGGTAGGGGACACGGGTTCATGCCCCAGTCCAGGAAGATCCCACATGCTGTGGAGCGGCTGGGCCCGTGAGCCATGGCTGCTGAGCCTGCGCATCCA